GTTCGTACACCTTGACCCTGTCTCACAGTCCCTAGACCAGTATATCCCCTCCGTCCAGTTCTTTTTGTTATGCAAAAGCCAACAAAGATGCAAATCCAAATCTGAATCTCTCAATCTCTCACTGGCAGGGGCTCCTTCTCAATTTAAATGGAGCCATTTGATTACATCAATATTACATTATATTTTCAGAGATTTAGTCTACCTGGCAACGAGTCAGTTATCAGCGCTATAATCACAGTTGCAGTTGTACCCCAAAAATGGAATCGATATGACAAGTGAGGCATTTTGTTAAACTCAAAGGATGAAAGCAATCAGATACAGCCTCGCCGCTGGTGTGTTTACCTGTCATACCTGTTATCTATGAGAAAAATGCCTTTTATTAACATCCTTAACTGAAGACAAAGGTTTAGAAGCATGTTGAGACTCGAACCCGAAACGTGGTGTGACAAGCAATCCACTGCCCCACCGCTTGCATTACACAGGCACGTTTATCGTAGACATATGTATGTTCAAAGCAGCGATACTGCGCACATTGGCTTTTCGTGACGTCATTAACTGTTCGCAGACTGAAAGATATTGAAACATTTTATCCTGTCTCATCCGGACAACCATAAGCTGCTGATGTCGTATTTTAGGATCTTCATCTTGTTGACTCCTAAAAACATTTTGCTTTCAGTCCAGTATATATTTTTAGGCAGATTTTAGCAAAGGAGTGTCATTGGATAGCAAAATATATCGTTTCCTGATCACAAAGTCAACAAAAGCGAAGTGCCATATCAAATCAGTCTATAATCACTTTTTCAAAGTGAGGCTATCTGAACGACCACTGGATCGAGTCTTCTGTGCTGTCGTGTAGCTGAATATTGCTGAGTGCGGCGTTACACAACAAACAAAATATGCACAGTGTTGAGAAGAGAAGCAACCCTGCCGAGCCCTGGATGAAGTCGTCTGGCCTGAAATGTGAAACAGAAGGCTTTATGTTTGCTGCTCGGGACCAATCACTTCCCACTCGAAACTGTCAGTGTGTGATTTTGCATCAAAATGTAAATATGAAATATAGATTATGCAATGAATTTAATCAGACTGTCCAACACATTGTCACTGGATGCCCAGCTTTGATACAAACACAGTATCTTAAACGACATGAAGGTGTAGCTCGATCATTTTATTACCGTCTTCGCCATGCTTGTGGTTTTGACACAGAGGTCCACCCATGGTACGTCCCGGAATATGTAGAGGGCGTCATGGAAAATGATAAATACAAAATTCTTTGGAATAGGCCCGTTTACAGCCTTAGACGTATCCAGGCCAATAAACCTGATCTTGTCCTTTTTGATAAATCCAATGAAATCATTTATATCATTGAATTTTCTGTCCCCTTTGAAACAAATGTGATTGACAAGTCTGAGGAAAAACATGGCAAATATGCGAACCGCGCATTCGAAATGTCACGCTTGCATCCCAAGTACCAAGTAGTCCGACTCCCCATTGTTCTTGGTGCCTTAGGTTTGGTACCTCCAAATCTGTTAACTGACATTGGGAGTGTACCCGGGTTTGCTACCAGGAATACAGCCCTTCTGACAATCTGGGTAATGCAGAAGGCTGAAGTGTTGGGGAGTCTTCACCTTCTCCGAAAAGTTCTGGGTGGGTTTGACTAGGCGGCGCTTCCTGGGAGAAGTCCCATTCACTGTCTGGGCTGCATGTAGAGGGGGCAAGGGCCCTGAGCTGATGATGAGCCTAACCAGCCTGACTGTGACAGGATCACCCGAACCCTCTTTGCTGCATTTTTTATTTTAATCTGATGATGATGATGATGATGATGATGATAATAATAATAATAATTTGTTTACATGACGACTGAATACGGGTGAAAAAGGAATAAATGTTTCAAGGGCGAAGTGTCATATCTGGTGTGAAGACAACCACGTGGACGGCTGTACTTGCACGGCGCGTCGCCCACCACCAGTGTATATATCAAAGTTTACAAAGTTCCGTGATGTAACTGACATATTGCGTATATGCACAAGGAAGCCAGAGTTGTGTCACGAACTGGTTGCCTAATCTGGTCAGACCTGGAAAAAATCATTACCGTTGTCTTAAAAATATTTGTTTGTCCGCATGTGGGTTCACAGAGAGTGCAGTGCATGTGTTCCATGGTCATGGGAATAAAAGGCAGCAGATCTGTCTGAAATGATAATGAGAAATCATTATGATGTCTGGAACAAATAGATAATTTGTTCGTCCGTATGAAAAAAGTCAAGCATTTGTTTGTGCGATTTTCTGCCCCGGAAAAGTTTCTATATAAACTGCGTAGTAACCTTATAATGAGTTTGTCAATTTGTGGAGACTTGACTTTGTGGGGTGGTTCAGAGTGTTGAGGTGGGTGAGAGTGTGTTAGTAAAGTTGTAGAACAGTTATATCGATAGTCTAGCTTGATGACACCAACGGGTTTCATATATCGTAAACCGGCCACCAATGGGACGACCGAACACTGATAACCACTAACCTACCCAACGACCTCCAGCCTGAAGACCTGGGTCAAAGTCGTGATTCAAGATTTCTGAATCCCCCCCCCCCCCGCCCTTTACCATACCCTTGATTCAAATACCACCTTACCATATCTCATTCCCTTCCCACACCTTATATCATACTGCTTAAGACAGCTTAAGAGACACGCACTAACACGTGGCCTCGCCCACTTGAGACTTTGTACTTTACTCTAGGGTGGGGCGGGGTAGCTGTCTTCAACAATGTACAGACACACTCCAAAGCCATGTCAGATTGTGAAACCCTTACTTAGTGCAGTGATGAAAGCCGCGGGGGCAACAGGAAGGGCGAAGTAGGATAACGGCCCTTATTGCTGAGTGAGTGAGGGAGTATGGTTTTACGCCGCTTTTAGCACGGCGGGGGACACCAGAAATGGGCTTCACACATTGTACCCATGTCGGGAATCGAACCCGGGGTTTCGGAATGACGAGCGAACGCTTTAACCAGTAGGCTACCCGACCACCCCGGCCCTTATTGGCCCACGTTGTCGACATATATCATTTAGGAAATGAGCTAAACTTGCACGGCCTTGACTTATAACAACTGCGTGTATAAGTAAGGCTAGAAATATGTCGAGAACGTGTTTTCGGGATACTTTTTGCAATACTTGAACAACAAGCTCCAGTTTAGTTTCGGAACGTGGGATCAGACGGGAATGTTGTCTCACATCACCATGGGGCTTCCCACACAGGTGTCATAGGTGTTAGCGTCTTCAACCCGATTGTTAAATATCTTCCCAGGATAGTTGCAAGGTCAACCGACTCTTGACTGCATCTTGTGCCCCCCGCCCCACCCCCATGACAGACTGCACCTCGTGACGTCCCCCTCCTCCCTGATGGCAAACCTTGGTTGTTATATATAAATGCAAGTTCACATTGTCTATGGGTGACAAATATCACACATCCCCCCTCGTCAAGATTGATTAATTGAAATACTTTCAGTGTAGTAACTTACAGTGGAAGAAAACCAGATTCTTGTGATGACAAGACTGTAACATGGTGATGACACGATGATGACACGATGGTTATATGATATAACATGGTGACACGAGGGTACGAAACGAGGATGACACGAGGGTGACACGAGGGTGATACGATGGTTACATGATACAACATGGTGACAAGAGGGTACGAAACGAGGATGACACGAGGGTGACACGATGGTTACATGATACAACATGGTGACAAGAGGGTGACACGAGGGTACGACACGAGGATGACACGAGGGTGACACGAGGGTGATACGATGGTGATGCGAAGGTGACACGATGATGAGTAATTTGTTGAGGTTGAGTAATTGACCAATCACATGGCTTTGATCAATATCTGGACTCTCCCTCGACACATAGTTTAACCACAACGTAAAAGAAAACTTGGCGTGTCATTGTGAACACGGAACAAGAAGAAAGGTCGAGAACGCTGTAGGTGTGTTGGGTCGCCGCGTCACATTCATACAGACTGTTTTACTGTCACAATAAAACACAACGACGCATAAATGTACCTTAAAATCGGATGAGACTGCTTCCGACCCAAATCACGGAATCCGCGAAAACGTGTTTCGGAATAATAAAAAGAATTTAGTCATTCGCACTCAGGCCCACTTGGCTTTACAGTTGCCGACTTCATATCTCGGCTACAGTGAAGTGGGGGTCGTCCCTGCGTACGGACCAGTACCTCCTGCATTTTTATATAGGTGTTTTATGGTAAATAAAATTAGGTATACGATTTCATATCGAACAAAATATTGAAAAGGGCCACAACTGCCTCAAAAACGAGTTGTGTAATGTGAACTATTGAAACTAGTAAATACAGTTCTAGTTTGGACTCTTCCCATCGCTCGCCGGTTTTCCGGCTAACGACACACTACCACCTCGACAATTTTTCAGGACAGTGTGACATGAGAATAACCATATTGATAAAATTGAAATTGTTTGCTATATTCGAGACAAATATTTCTCAAATGACAAATTTGAAAAGCTTGCTCATAATAGAGTTAATGCATGCCTTATTATAAAATACTAAAGCGGGTATATATGCCACGATCCCCGTGAGGATTCTGGGTTTGAGTAAGTCCCCAATGACCAATGCTTGTAAGAGGTCACTAAATGCATCGGTTTGTCAGGCTCGATAGTCGGTCGCTTATCACCGTACCACTGATATAGACTCAATTTTATTTACAGTGTTTATTTGTTATTTGTTTTAAAACGTCGCACTCAGAAATATTCCAATTATATTGCAGTAGTCTATAAATAATCGAGTCTGGACCAGACAACCCAGTGACTGACATCATGAGGATCGATCTACGCAATTGGGATTGGATGGCATCCATCAACCAAGTCAGAAATCCTAACCACCCGATCCCGTTAGTCGCCTTTTTTCTGATCAATGTCCTAATCTAGGAAGTAAATGACGAAATGTGAATAGCTAGGCTGCACCCTCGTTCCTGATCTCTGACAGGGCAAACACACGGCCCAGCCGGCACGTCACGGCAGCTATTAAAGCAGACGGCACATGCTAGGCCTCACTCGTTCTCGCAGCATTTCATTAGCTCGACCGGACACAGCGTGGTTAAGCGCTAGCAATAAGGTAAGGCACGCTTTCATATGCATGATCATGTTGTTCAGGAAATCCGAAGGATTAAGAACATGGATTATTATTTCCGATCTTTTACTGAGTGAATGGTTTACATCGCAGTCAGCATTAATACTCCAGCTACGTGACGGCGGGCTATAAATAACCAAGTCTGGGCCAGATGAACTTTATGATATTGAATACTTCGATAAGTTGATACTTTGATACAGATGTGTTTCTCATTTTCGATGTAATCTTCGATTTTCTTGCCGATGTACACATGCGATACATGAGAAAGTGAGTGACTTTTTAACGAAATATTTGTGTGAAATATCTATTAAATATTGTTTGCCCCCCCCCATAATAATAATAATAATAATAATAATAATAATAATAATAATAATAACAACAACAACAACAACAATAATAATAATAGTGATGATGATGATGATGATGAATGATATCATTAATAGTTTCAAAGAAACACTCACTCACTCACTCGTGCAGGAACCTACGATCATGGGTTCGAATCCCGGTTCGGACAGGTTATGTTTCTAGGTTTGTCAGCACCATGCAGTGCTCGTGGGTTTCACCAAAGTGGTAAACGTCTGATCATGAAAACTGCATCACTTCGGACTTTCCCTCCACATTAGGCTGACACGCTGTGATATAACTGGAATACTGTTCAAAGCGACGTTAATTCCACTTCACTCACTCAGGGTTCGAATCCCAGAAATGGGAAATATTTCAAAAATAGTTTATTGGGTTTTGACCACAGTGACATGTATTTAGGGATGATATTTTCAAGATTTACAAGATTTGCACGATTTACAAAAGGACTCTGTTACAGCATGAGCAGTGACATATGGAAGCGTATTACTGCCACGGAGTAAAATTATGTTACCACCCACGTTGATAATACTTCCATCTGCGTATGTGATATTATAATCGTACGTATGGGACGGTGATATTGTCTTGTGAAGTTACTACCCCAGTTGTTTACTAGTTTACAGAAACATGTATTATAAAAATAAAATAAAGGTGATTACTTAATTACTGTTAATTTAATTAAATGTTTAAGAGCATGTTTGTCTTTTCCGTATTTTTACAACATACTGAGATCATTTCAAATTGTCAAATTATCAGCGCTAAAATAAAAACACAAACTGCAGGATTGTACCTTCAGTGCTTCATAGGATGATGACGAGTATTGGTTTGATGTGGGTACTATCCTCTCTTTATAATGGTTGTAAAAGACTTCGGCATGTGTCATACTTCAGTAACTTTGACACATTGAAATGAGTGAGTGAGTATGGTTTTACGCCGCTTTTAGCAATATTCCAGCAATATCAGGGCGGGGAACACCAGAAATGGGCTTCACACATTCTACCCATGTCGGGAATCGAACCCGGGTCTTCGGCATGACGAGCGAACGCTTTAACCACTAGGCTACCCGACCGCTCCATTGAAATGAAGATTTTCGTTAATTAACGTGTATATAGCACCTCAATAAAGACATGTGAAGGTGACCTGTGAAGATCTGGGGTAGAATAGGTCTTCAGCAACATATGCTTGCCGTAATAGGTGACTGTGCTTGTCGTAAGAGGCGACTAACGGGATCGGGTAGTCAGGCTCTCTGACTTGGTTGATGGATGTCATCGGTCCCAATTGCGTGGATCGATGCTCATGATGTCAATCACTGGATATTGTCTGGTCCAGACTCGATTATTTACAGACCGCCGTCATATAGCTTGAATATTGCTGAGTGCGGCGTTAAACAAACAACTAAACAAACAAACAAACAACATGTAAAGGTAGAAAGTCAGACAAATCGGTCATTATTAGTTAAACCAGAGACTATATTACACATAAATGACCCGGAACAGTTGTCGATTATTCGTGAAAATTTTGTTACAAAAGTCGATAATTCGACAATAGATGATACTTCTACGTAGATTGTGAAACTATCTTCTCCGGAGATGATATTTGTGGCAGTAATACGCTTCCATAGGGACGCGAACAAGTTTTATTATTAACATTGAACAAGTAACGTGCTGCGCTAAATCTTGTCTCAGCATTCTATTTTGATTACACATTAAATGAAACCCGCCTGACTTGAACCCAACTTCTGCATTTAAGTCTGTAGTTAATATACAAGAACCAGTTCGATTAAGGAAATGAACCATCAGTGGAAAATAATTGTGGTATTTGAAAATAATTTGTCACCATTATAAATTGCTGATTCAGAAACGGAAGAGATAGAGTCCATGTTTCCGCTTGTGAAGACAGTTGTCTATGAGCACGTGCTGAATGATGATCACGTGACTAGCTGCCGACATGACCATGATTGACCGGTGGTTGATGTTCAATGAGTTTCTAAACGCGTGGTCCATTATATAGTTAAATCACGCGTGGCCTTGGGCCAGCATCGTCATGTGTAATTGCGGTACCAGTGTATTTATGTTAATAACCTTGATGATTGCTCTCTACTTTACTGCAATATCTGGTGTCAAGCGACCCCCTACCTCTCCCCCTTCTGTTCTGTCTGCATCCTCTCTAATTGCCCTCTCTCTTTTTTCCATATGTGCCATGTATCTCCCTCCTTGCCCCCTCTCTGTCGTCTCTCCCCTCTCTCTCTCCTCTCCATCTCCCCTTCTCTCTCAGAAGATATACACCTTTCTGTCATCTCCCTGCATAAAGGCATATAGTTCCTGTTGGTGCAGATATAGGCGTGTACCCCCCTCCCCCAAATGTTTGAGTAAATGTAGTTTATGATATCTTCCATCACAAGACAAACTAACCCCTTTGTCACATACAGGCTATCAGTGTTCTTGCCTTGTTTGTATTTAAGCTTAAATAAACGTGAACACTTCTTCAGTAGCATCACTTTATTTTCATGTGCATATGTACACAAGGTAAAAATATGTTATACATATTGGCGCTCTGTACATCATATGATATTAGTAGTTTTATATGTATAATGGCCGACCTCTCTCTCTGTCTCTCTCTCTCTCCCTCTCTCTCTCTCTCTCTCTCTCTCTCTCTCTCTCTCTCTCTCTCTCTCTCTCTCTCCGCCCCCCCCTCCCGAATACAAATGCCGTCTGTCTGTATCGAGCGCTTGCTTTTTGCACAACGCCTGAATGAGCGTGATGGCAGCCTCCCCACTGTTGAGTCCCGCTGCAGGCAACAATTGTCGTCCTGATCACCCGCTAGCTAACTACTTCTAATTGTTGTGTTGATTTGTTTGACAGATAGCAATGTCACTGAGATATGACATTAGTCTTGTACGTGTCCATGGTAACTGACACGCTTTCCAAAGTCCTCATCCGAGTGCGACACGAAGACAGTAAATCAGATGTGTAAATCACGAAACAAATCAACATAGAAGAGGTTACAGTTAAACACCGTTGTGTCGAACTTACGGTTATCTCGAAGTAAAAGCATTGTCTATGCGTATTCCTTCTTTATTCATCAATTTCGGTTGTGTCGAACCTCGGACAACTCGAAGTATTTGTCTACGCCCCTTCAACTTCGACACAACAGTGTTTTCCTGTATATCTATTTCTTCTATCAATGACGATTCACCCGCGTACAACTTATCTCCTTCAAAACCACGCAGCACGTGCACTTAAGTAATAGACCCGTGAAGATTCCGGGGTAGAATAGGTCTTCAGCAACCCATTCTTGCCGTAAAAGGTGACTATGCTTGTCGTAAAAGGCGACTAACGGGATCGGGTGGTAGGCTCGCTGACTTGGTTGATGCATGCCATCGATCCCAATTGCGTGGATCGATGCTCATGATATTAATCACTGGATTGTCTGTTCCAGACTCGATTATTTACAGACCACCGTCATATAGCTTGAATATTGCTAAGTGCGGCGTTAAACAACAAACCAACCAACCAAACTTAAGTAATATCCGTATTTCCTTCAACAACGAAGTGTCACGTGCCTTCAGGGAAAATTTGTATTTCCCCTTAAAACCACGCGCCACGTGCACTTAAGTAATATCAATATTTCCTTCAACAACGAAGTGTCACCTGCTTAAAAGTGATAGCTTTATTTCCTTCATAAGCGACGAGTCAGTGCACACAAGATATATATTTGTTTCTTTCCACAATAAAGAAATGCCTGCATACGAGCTTCATCTTTCTTCCTTTCTCCCAGAGGTAAATCACGTGCATGTGCTTACAGGGTATATATTTTTTCCTTCAACAGTAAGAGTCACGTGGATGTAGGTAATAGCTTATCTTTATTAGTTAAGTCACGTACAAATTATTATACTATATATGTACATTATACGTTATTTCCAAGACGTTGGGAGGTGGGGTATCCTATAGGTTAAAGTATTCGCGTTTCACGCCAAAGGTCCGGGTTCCAAACCCCACATGGGTACAATGTGTCAATATCAGTCATATGTCATCCGCCGTAATATTGCTGGAATATTGCTAAAGCGACGTAGAACCATACTCACTCACTCACTCAGGCGTCGAGTACTTGTCACGTGCGTAAAGGTGATATGATTTACGTGATCAAATAGTTATATTTAGGATCGCGTTGCGCATGCCACATGCATGTTTCGTATACCCAAGATGATTCATAGCTGTAAATTAATAATTCTTATTTCAGACTTTGGCAATATTAAGTACATACATGAGTTACACACTGTCTAGCTCGTCGCCCCGGATATGTAAAGAGGGTATTCGAATGAACTTGAATCCCTCCGGGGTCGTCATTGGCGTTAGAAATCCCCAGGTCGATAAAATTAGCATTTGCTCTGTCATTATGAACAAACGCCCAGCACTCACGCCTCGACCACATTTCCATATTTTAAAAGACTTAACTCATTTAATAAAATTACATATATGGTGATTTTTGAAGTTATAGTGTTCTGTGAATCTCTGAGCCGAATATCTGCTCTTACGGATATAACATGACCCAGATTAAGACTGTATAGTCTTGCTATCTGATAAGGATCAATAATGTACCGCAACGCCGTGTGTGTTCATTCCTGACATGTAGACAAGCAATACTACTGAAAAAAGTAAGGGAGCAACTTTCACCAGGCTGATACTAATGTCACCATACGAGGTATCATACAATTGAGAAATGCGCCCCGTAGATTAGTATCGATTTGCTCAGCGTGGGTTCCTCACGTGTGGATTCCGAGTTAGAAAAGGTCCCAGCAACCTATCCTGGTCGTAGGGGCGACTAAATGGAGCGCGTACTCAGTCGCGGTAATGTGGTCGGTAGCGTCTCATCATACTCCAAAGGCGTGGATCGATCACTGGATTGTCTGGTCCACTCTCGATTATTTACAGACCACCGTCATATAGCTGGAATATTGCTGAGACAGGCGTTTAACAACAAACAAACAAACACACAGTTACATATGTAGCAATTTCTATAGTATTCTATAGTATCAACGTGTTTCTCAGCTATGGAAAAGTAAACCTCAGGCATGTGTTGTTCTTTTACTTAAAGTTTACTTAATACCAGCACGTTGAAGGACTCGAGGTTTTACAACACTAGAGTTTTCTCTGAAGTTCAGATTTTAGTCATCTGAACAACTGAATTCGAATGCTTGATACTGAACTAAATCTGAACATAACTCCAGCCTCGAAAAAAACAAATTAAATAGGCCTCGTGGAAAGATAACGAGGATGCACTGATGTTTCTGGTGTGACGTGGCTCCAGATTCTATCTGCTTAATTCTCTCGGCAGTACGTAGCATGGCATTACACAGCATCATTAGGCCATATCACCAAATACTTGTTTCTCATTGGTTTGTTTTGGTATATGGTAAGCAGGTCAATTTCTCCCAACTACTCCAAACAAAACAACCGGGCAAAAGAAATTATACACTTGAAAATTGGATTTGACCAAAAAATTATAAATGTTATCAAAACGTTAATGGGCTGAAAACAGTCGCTGAAACGCTACAAACGTAAGGCCCAAAACATTACTAGGATATCCGTATCAACTACATCATCAAATAACCAATTCTTGCTTGTTTCATTTGTACACTCTTTTTTTACACCATAGTAGTTGTTATAAAACGCCCCTTTCTTGGGGAAAGCATTTGCAGGACCTCTGGACTGGTTACATTAAAGAGTTTAACTGAAGACTTGAAGACGACTTTAAAAGTCGTAATATAAACCGAATTTAGCCTTACGTAGTTTTACGTAATTATAGCTTAAGGATAATGCCGATTAATAAAATCGGAAGCTCATTTGTGTAAATAATGCCTTCATTGGGCAAAATGCTTTTTTTCTGAATGGAATCTAAACATAAACCACCCAGGAGGAAAACATTCGTAAACTCGTAGGAACCTGATCGTAAATTCATATTTGGCTGATCATAAACCCATATGAACCTGATCGTAAACCCATATGAACCCGATCGTAAACCCATATGAACCTGATCGTAAACACATATGAGCCTGATCGTAAACCCATACGAGCCTGATCGTAAACCCATATGACTATGATCGTAAACCCATATGAACCTGATCGTAAACCCATTTGAGCCTGATCGTAAACCTATATGAGCCTGATCGTAAACCCATATGACTATGATCATAAACCCATATGAACCTGATCGTAAACCCATATGAGCCTGATCGTAAACCCATATGACCATGATCGTAAACCCATATGAACCTGATCGTAAACCTACATGAACCTGATTGTAAACCCATATGAACCTGATCGTAAACACATATGAACCTGATCGGAAACACATAAGACCATGATCGTAAACACATATGAACCTGATCGTAAACCAATATGAACCTGATCGTAAACTCACCGGAACCATCAGGAAACCAAAGTTCCATTTGGTGTCCTGTGGGTTCCCTCATTCGAAAAGAGGCGGTCGGGTAGCCTAGTGGTTAAAGCGTTCGCTCGTCACGCCGAAGACCCGGGTTCGATTCCCAACATAGGTACAATTTGTGAAGCCCATTTCTGGATTCCCGCGCGTGGAATATTTTTAAAGCGGCGAAACCATACTCACTCACTCACACGAAAACCAACTGTCATTAGCCATGTCGGTGAGAAACGGGCCATGTTTAGTATTTGTCCTTACAGTAACATTGCAGACTTGGGATGTAGGCTGAAGTCTAGGGATGGCATTTGAAATCTAATCTTACGTTACATGTTGTGGTTATAATGACGTCATCGGGACCCAATCAGTTGAAGTGCTAACGTAAAAGCAAAACTCTCGCGTTACCGTCATTTGCGAAACAGATGGAATCACTGGTTACGTGCCATCAATGTTTTTTGTTTCGATGGGATCATTGGATGGGAACGTTTTGATTTCAATACGATGTCAGAGCTGTGGGAGGTGTCAAATGTATTTAAGACTCATTTAGATGATATGCTATGGATGTTGATCATAACGGAAATTTTGTATCATGCGATTTGAATAACGCGTTTGTAATTACTCTAATGCGTTTTGCAATTTAATATTTCGACTTTTGGAAATGTGATTATTAAACTATAACAATTTTACCCTTTTAAAATAAATGAAATTCTTCATTGTTTCTATGTCATGGAAGGGGCGGTCGGGTAGCCTAGTGGTTAAAGCGTTCGCTCGTGACGCGGAAAACCCGGGTTCGATTCCCAACATAGGTACAATTTGTGAAGCCCATTTCTGGTGTCCCCCGCCGTGATATTTCTGAACTATTGCTAAAAGCGGCGTGCAACCATATTCACTCACTCTATGTCGTGGATACCTCGGGGCAGAACAGAACCTCATGCTGATTTAAAAGCCGACTACAATGTGATGACCTGTTGTCTGACCTGTCTGTGTAACATGTAACATGTAACATGTAACAAATACATTGTATGTCCACGCTTGTATGCTTGTATTCAATGTTCTCACAACCAACTTTTCTTGATTTCAGATGACCAAGTTTCTACCTGTTTTGTTATACCTATCAGTCGTGAGTTACGTGACGTCAAAGCCCACCCTCTTTGTGAAGGATGTCGGCTGCAACGACCGCGACACCGACACCAAATGCTACTACTGCAGCTCCCACTACGACAGACCGGAGCTTTACGAAAAATGTTGTAACGACGTTGCGTTCCAGGATCACTGTAAAACAGAAATATGGGTGGAGCTTAAACGAGAGAGTATGTGGTGATCCCAATTCAGGATTGTAGTCCCCTTTGGAAGTGTCGGCCAAGACGGAAGTCAGTGGAAGGAACGATAACTCTTACCGGATCTGAACCAGCTTTTAATGCCCCGGATGTAAATGGGGGAACCAAATGGCTTGTGTGCGTTGTGATATAGTGTTTGGCTTTGAAATTCCCCCAAAGTCATTAAGATACAATTATTACGGACAAACGACAGTGAACCGCAAAAAAATTAAACATGAAATTATATTTTGAAAGTAGTTCAGTTAAAGTTAAACGACTTTGATGTGATATTGTGAACACTCATTTCTTGGTTTATTTTGTCATTGTTTATTCGAACAAGAGGGACTCATAATTATGTCACGGTTGTGAAGTGATGGCAAGTGTTTCTCGAGTGATATACAGAGAGGAGTTACAGATGGAATGGCAGTTGTGGCTGCAAGGTTAACACACAACCTCGAATGAATGAGGTGAGGACAATTGTGCATGTGATACGTCATGTGCAGTTACTCGAGATGAAGTTGATGAGACAGGTGCCCGTGATGAGCAGGTAGAATCCCAGGCAGGGATGTTGATCCTGGAGATGGACCAGCCTGGAGATGGAGGCAGCAAGAAGAGTTATTGACGTTATATTCTCTATAATTTTATTTTGGCCCTGGATTCGGCCGTCTTGGTTAAAGTATCGTTTGTTTATATTTGCTTGTTTATTTATTACTCTAAATGTTATTTATTTATTGAGAGTTTATTTATTATAAAATATGTGAAATAAATTTTATACATTGTAGTTTATCGTCATACTTTACATGATTAATTATTTCGTTCCTGGGGCGGTCGGGTAGCCCTAGTGGTTAAAGCGTTCGCCCGTCACGCCGAAGACCTGGGTTTAATTCCCAACAGGGGTACATTGTGAGAAGCCCATTTCTGATGTCCCCTGCCGATATATTGCTGGAATATTGTTAAAAGCGGCGTAAAACCATACTCACTATTTCGTTCCTATTCCCCTAGGGCAGACCCGGTTTATTAGATCACCCAGTACCCATGCTTGTCACAATCGGCTTTTCAGTCACAGGTTTGCCTGGTTGTGATTCCGTTCTTGACCTCCCGCAGTGGTTTTGTTGGAATACTACTGACTGTGGTCGTTCAAGTTATGATCAGTTGCGAGGCTCAATTGGAGTTCGCAGATGTATTGCATGCTGTTTTTTTATGAAACATGAGACATTTTCCTTCAGGTTGATGTGAGGCAGAAGAGCTCACCATCAATTATTTCCTGTTCTAATAATTGTCTAATGAAAATAAACAGGTTTATTCTGTGTCATCGCACTCCATCTGGCCATACCCATCTGGGTCAGATTCGATAATTACATTTCGCGATAGAGCTGGAATATTGTTAACGATGTCGTAAAACAATAGTCACATTTGGCGTTGAGAAGGGCAAATCAAGTTCAGCTTGTAACGTGAGGTAATCACCAGTCCACACTGTCACGGGGCCTAATTTATCGACTGCAGTGACGTATTAGAGTGTTCAATCAAGGGAATGTGAGCGTGACACCTCTTCAACAGCCTAACTTTCATCACGTGACAGAGGAGGGGAAAACCTGTCCAAAGTGACGCTGGTCTTTAGCGTTCAGACCCTTTGGTGTAAGCCACGAGCATAGTGTTGACTGATTAGGGATCATAATCTGACAGACCAGGGATCATAATCTAACAGAGCAGGGCTCATAATCTGACAGACCAAGGATCATGATCCGTCAGACCGAGGATTACATTCTGACTGATCAAGGATAACAATCTGACACACCAAGGATCATAATCTGACACACCAAGGATCATAATCTGACACACCAAGGATCATAATATGGATACGATTTGTGAGTAGGCTTCTCCAAGTTACATGAAATCGTTTTTATAAAAGTTTTTAGATCTTTGGTTGTTTGCTTATATGGCCACATTGGGCCCACTGAAAAAGAACGTGAGTGAGTGAGTGAGTGAGTGAGTGAGTTGGATTTAACGCCGCTTAGAACAATATTCCAGTTATATCACAGCGTGTCAGCTTAATGTGGGAGGAAAGCCCGACGTGATGCCGGTCTTAGATATTTAGCACTTTGACGAAACCCACGAGCACGGTGCTGAAATAACAGTTCTGGGATTCCAACCCACGGTCAGCGGATCATGACACACGTAAGGGACGCAACTTCGCGCAGCTCATACCAGCACTTCCAACGACTCGGCGACCAGTTTACCCCTTGAGTATAGAATGGGATTTTTGTTCTTTTAAAAAAGGAAGATTCAGTCTGTTGTTAATACAGATTCGTAAGTGTCTGAGTTTTGCGCCAGGGCCCATTACATGTACCAACAGGAGAGAGACCGCCTCCGTGGTCTAGTGGTAGAGCGTCCGCCCGGAGAGCGGAAGGTCCGAGGTTCGATTCCCGGCCGCGTCATACCAAAGGACGTTAAAATGTGGTACTTGTTCTTACCCTGTCTGGCGCTCGGCATTAAGGGGCTAAAACAAGGACTGGTCGGCTCGGAGTCAGTATACTGTGTCTGAGTGGGGTATTCATTCACTGCGGCATGGTATCTCAGTGAGCTAGCACTATAAATCGGCATTAGTCCGGACTAGTACAAGCAGCCACACACACGTGCATGCACGTCGCTATATAAGTGCAATAATCTTGGACGCGACTTTAAACCCCATTTCACCGCACCCTGTTTTACATCTTACATAATGTATTTGACTACTAAGCGGTTACCCCCCTTACACACTGGATTTGCCAAACACAGACTTTCCCCAGTAGATGAGAGCAGTAGCCTATCCTGGCCGGAACAAGGTCAGTCCACATTTCGCCTGTGATGTACTGACACGTAGGCGCAGTCTCCAACCCATTATCGCGGTGAACTTTCTTTCAAATGTCACGCATTTCAATGTTAAGACATAAGACAAAAAAATATAAAAAAAGAAAATTCAAAATAAAAATTAAAAAAATTAAAAAAACAAAACAACTAAGAAAAAATCTGGAATTATAAGAACTAGTTGACCTAATATGACATGTTATAAACAATTGTTTAAAAATAGAAATGAAGGTACTTTCTATTCAGTTATCTATGAGTCCCACATAGAAAACTGTTTCAAATAGAGTACGGAGTAACAGACAAAACCAATTCAACAATTCTGAGAAAGTCCATTGTACGATTCAGACTAAACCTTTAGCATGCTATGATATACACATGATGAACACGTAAATGCAGTGTATGTGGTTATAAGGAACACGTAAATACAGTGATGTGGTAATAAGGAACACGTAAATACAGTGGATGTGGTAATAAGGAACACGTAAATACAGTGGATGTGGTTATGAGGAACACGTAAGTACAGTGGATGTGGTTATAAGGAACACGTAAATACAGTGGATGTGGTTATAAGGAACAAGTAAATACAATGGATGTGATTATGAGGAACACGTAAATACAGTGATGTGGCAATAAGGAACACGTAAATACAGTGGATGTGGTTATGAGGAACACGTAAATACAGTGATGTGGCAATTAGGAACACGTAAATACAGTGGATGTGGCAATAAGGAACACGTAAATACAGTGGATGTGGTTATGAGGAACACGTAAATACAGTGATGTGGCAATAAGGAACACGTAAATACAGTGATGTGGCAATAAGGAACACGTAAATACAGTGGATGTGGCAATAAGGAACACGTAAATGCAGTGGATGTGGCAATAAGGAACACGTAGTTATAGTGGATGTGGTTATGTGTTTAGTTATGTGAATATGTTGATGGGTTTGACCTGGATGTGTGTAGTGGGTGTGGAGAGAGTGGTTGTGGATGTAGGTATGGGCATGGGCGTTGACGTTGGCGTGGGCGTGGGCGTGGGCGTGGGCGTGGGCGCGGGTGTGAATTTGGGTTTTGGTGAATTTGTATGTGTTTTATTTGCGCTTGGGTTGGTGTATTGAGGGTGTGGATTTGGGCGTGAGTGTGTCTATGCATGTGTGTAGGGCGTGTGTAGGGTGTGTGTTTACGTGTTGGGTTTAGGGTGTGGTGTGGTGTGGTGTGGGGTGGGTTGTTTGTGGTTGTGGATGTTGGTTTAGGCGTGGGCGGTGGCGTGGGCGTTGGTGTGGGCGTGGGTGGTCAATGAATCACATTATCATTATTCACAGTACAATATTATTGTGTCATCTTTATACAGGTATAGATCAATCCTAACAATAGGCATGTCGCCCGTTGACAAATGCATGGGAGACCATCCAGGAAATGTCCAGAAATATCCAAGGAATGTCAAGAACGAAGGATAATGTACAGTCAATGTTGACTTGCACCTTTCCCACACGGTACGACATAATGCTTAAAGGAGGAACTACAACTTCTCGTCAGGAATAGTTTAAACAGTCACGACCAACACAAAAGCGGTTTTGTCTCACATGTATCGAGTGTCGCGGCATACAAAAGGCGGCCAGCTGCTCATGCTATTTTGGCGCCATGAAGTCGTGGGTATAATAGCGGCGGCCTTGTCACGTGATTCCCGCGTACATACTATTATTATAGGCATGAAAGCGTAATACATATTTAGATAATTAAAGGGTAGTTAAATCAATAGGTCATAGAAATAAGAGGGAATATATACCAGATAATATAACAAGAATTGGCACCATCTTAGAGTGTGGGGACACACTCTTCGCCAGAACGGGGGTCGTATTATAGGCATAAAAGTACAGTAATTAACAACTAATTAAAGTAATTAACAATTCATTAGGACACCTACGTGATTGTATATAAAGGTCAAGAAGAGGAGTTGAAACCAGTAAGATGTAAACATAACACATTGATATATATATAGGAGACGGGCAGCTCTGATAGTTGAAGACTACGGGGGCATACGGGGCCACGAGTAACCAGGGGTGAGGGTAGTAGGTCGAGGGCTATACATTAATGAAAAACAAGTGGAACAGAGATGAGAGGGACGGAAACGTCAGGGTCTTGAGACATATATGGTATTGGGGGGGGAATAGTTCGAATTCCAAAAGGGTGAGAAGCTACATCATGGCAAGTCCGAATAAGGTGCTGGTTATTAGATAAGAGTGGGTTAGAATGATCTAGTGTAGGGGGGAAAGGTGGCTGACCAATGATAGATGGAAAAATGAGTAGAGCTGTGACGTAGGTGCCGGTTTAAAAAGGGGCAAATGCCCCAAATAAAAAAACCGCTAAGAACGAAGAGAGAACGGCTAGACAACGGTTAGAGACGGCTAGAGAGCGGCTAGGTAGCGGCTGCGGCTGGGGAGACTACATCTGGACTGGTGCTCCGCTCTCGGCTTGTGGTCATGATCTTTCGAACCAGAAACCAAACCTAGGCACCAGCAATTTTGACTGAGACTGAAGCTTTGCGGCCGAAGTCTCATAATTAAGTGACAATTAGAGTGGGTTGACCGGCAACACAAAGTTGGAATAAAAGCTGTTAAACGAAGATCACTCTTTGTGCTTGTTGGAGGAACTACGGTAATAGGTCCAAGGCCCTCGGGTACTGACATTGTACCTCTCGCTCATCCCAGACAGTCAGCACCAAAGAACGAGGGGATTACCGTAGTTCAGGTGAAGAGGTACACCAATTGACACCAGTAATTAACAACAATTACTGGCGATTAACGTCGTTAAAATTACCTTGGATACTATGTCGCAGACAGAGAGGATTTTGATATTTGGCCCCCTTCCTTTAAAACATCCTGGATCAGTCCTTGCTCGCGCTAATTTCTGACTACTGTTTTCTCTCATGATCAAAATG